TTGATCCTGACGGTATATTTCTTCTGCCATGTCACAGTTTTAGTAAACTGTTCCATGTCCAAGAGCTTTATGGAAAATCAGTGCACTGATGTTAAACGCTGACATTCCTGTGGAATTCAAGAGAAAACCATTTAGCCTGAAGTTACGTGGAAAAGCTGCCCATTGTGGTGCTAATCACCTAGAACGACCTTATTGATTGGTCAGAGCACTTTATAGAAATGGTAATTAAAAAGACCTCAAACAGGGCCAAAATGTTAAGGATGGAATGCAGAAGCAGCAACAGCAATGCGATTTCATGTCCTATGTATGTGCTGCCCACATTGTCGAAGGCTTCCAATTTCCATTTATGTCTCCCCATTAAAAAATATATACTTCCAGTCATGTAACAGCCGGCCCCCTCAGCCCTGTGGACATGGGTGTTCTTAAGAACAGTAAAGGCTTTCAGTCAGCCACCAAATTATTAACATGGCGTTGATCCATGAAAAATAGAGCAAGGGGATGCTATGAAGAGCTTCTTCCTTTCCAATGGCGACGAATGTGAACAAGGTTACATAATGACCTCGAGGGAGAGCAGGCACAGGCCCATGTCACCAACCTTTTAGCTTGTGACAGGCTTTACACTTCTCATTTGTTTGCTGGCGACAGCTTAGCACTGGATTAACAGGTGCCTAGCCACGGGATTAATTCGTGGTTACCTCTCAAAGGAGATGCCAACATGCAGCAGAGGTAACAGGAGCTTTAACTGCATGGCACTTCTTTCAATTGAGATTCATCTTATATGATCACAGGCAAAACAATGTCCACACACGATGCCTGATAATATTCCATGTTAACGAAATTATTCTTTATTAAATTTAATACAATTACAAATAAATCTTTCCACTATTATTTTACAGACGATTTTGTGTTGTAATTTTCTAACACAAGCACTGAAAAATCAGGAATCTGTGGTAAAAGGTGTCTTTGCGGTGCATGAGTTTGCACAATGTTTGTTCATAGACCATATCTTTTTGGTTGCTGTCAAGGTGCTCGTCATGGCATTGTTCAGAGAAAACAGAGGTTTCAATCAGCCTCTGTCTACCCGAAGCCATACGAGGAGTCTACCAAAATGGATGTTTGTCAGCGGCAGACCTAAAATGGGGGTATGATGGTGCTATCAGCGGCCATGTCTGTGAAAACACCATTACCTCCATGTCACGCCTCAATCACTCCCCATTGTGCGATGACTCTCCCCCCACCCTCTTCCCCTCACCTCCAGTGCTGATCTCCCGTACATGTCCTAGCAGTCTATCACAGCCGATGTAGGGAGACGCACCGAGCCATAATGGATGGCCCCGGAGCGAAAACAGCCCCAATAGCATATCAATTACCCATCAGCACCCTCTTGGCTGGATGCCAATGTGCACCACACCTCAGCAAAGTCAATGAGATAAGGTGCAAATGCAGATATAATGGTGCTTTTTGCCGTGTACAAATTACACAGTGTCAACTCTGCTGCCCACCTGTCGGATCTGTCAGCCAGTGAATGAAAGAGAGTCTCTGAGAGGTGTGTGTGTGTGGGTTTGTTAATGTGTGTGCACACACAAGACCGTGCGCATGTCATGAGGCAATCAGGTGATTTCCCAGACTCATTTGCCCAGTGGAAGCCCAGCTGCTTGCCTGTTTATCTGTGCGCCCTTTTGATTGCTGACCACACATCTTATGTCACCTCTCCACGAATCCTGCAGGTTAATTTGTCCCTCGCTCGCAGCGCCACTGCAGCCACTGCGGGGCAGTACAATTTGGGAGGGGAAATCAGTCTGCACACAGGCACGCGAACAAGCACAATTGCACATTCTCACACACACAGATGAGGTGATTCAGATGGTTGGCATTACTGCAGCTGTGTGGCCCCTAATGGCCTGCTGAAGTGATTGATAAAAGGCAAACAGTTGCTCCGCAGGGGGACAGATGGAGCTACACCTCCCACTGAAGCTGGCACTCGAGCTTCAGAGGAAAACACAAGGGGGGTCTGACTTAGCGCTATGACATTATTGCTATTGAAATTAGCCTTGATCAACATGATAAAGCTGGAATGTAAATCTCAAAATCAAAATCTCATCAGGGAGAGACATGTTCCTTTGATTTGTTTAATCACTTTCATGTGTTTTGATTTTGATGCAATAGAAACATCAGCTCATGAGCAGGAACTTATTGTCCTGGAGGGGGAAAAAGGCGAAACAGAGCTCAATTCTTAGAATTGAAAGTAAACAGAGAATTGTTATGATGGTGGACAAAGCCACAATTATATTGGAGAATCATTTAAACTGTAATTCTGAAAATCAAACTGCAGTAGCAGGGTTGCAGCTCTCTTCACTGTTATGGAGATCAGAGCCTTAACAAATGCTATTGTACAGTGTTGCAAAACCACCACAGTAGATGGGAACGTCCATGTCCGTGTCCACACAAAGCAAACACTGTTCCACTCTGCTATTCTCTCACCTCCACTCCCCTGCATTTTTAGCATTTTTATCCTCATTGCCTTTACACTTGACTTGTTGTGCTGAATTGAGGGACCAATTAGGAGCAACAGAATGCTCACATCGCTGGTCAGAGCGTTGCAAGGACCTTATCAGGTGCGTGTCTCATTTGTGCAGGGCACAGCCACAGTTCCAATTGGTGGTTTTCTAGAGATTAGTGTTGTCTGCTGCTGAACCGATAGACAAGCTTCTGTTTCTCTGCAACAGTTTGGAAAATGTTAGCCCGTGTTATTAGAGCCACTGAGTGGCCGCATGATTTATGTCCAGTGGAACAGCATGTGGACAGTGTGATGGGCAACAGCTTGTTAAAATAGATGACTTTTCTGTTGAATGACACATAGAGTACAAGTCTACAGACAATCATCCTTTCACAAATAAAGTGCGAAGTGATCTGAACTTAAGGGTTTTCCTAATTTTAAGAATGTATTTCCCCCTTTAATTGCATTATAAATTATTACTGGCAGCTGAAACAATGCATTACATACGAATTCACAATGAAGTACATGTCATTCAGATAATATGGTATTATTTTGAAAACAACTGTAAAGAAGAGGCCAGAGCAACACTTAAACACACTTAAAGCATTATTATTTTTACTATATTGACCAATGGTTAATCAATTCAAGCCCGACTACAGCTCAAGAGGTCTTGATTTCCAAATTCTACTAGTATTTGACTTTAAATTAGGAATGTCCCGATCCGATATTTGGATCGGTATTGGCCGCCGATATTAGCAAAAAACGTGCATCGGATCGGACAGCATGGAAAAATGCCGATCCCAGAACTCTGATCCAGTTTTTCATAGAGTCCAATCCAGGTTTTCCGGCCAGCCCAGTGCTCCGCGATTCAAGCAGTCCATTCCAGTGATCCGCTCCAGCACTTACTATCAATCCAGTAAGCCAGCATGCAGACACACATGGAGGGAAGGGTAGGAAGAGTAGCGGTCAATTTAGTTAACTGACTATTTGTTTTCTGCTCTGGTTTTTTGAGAGTGATATTTTTATTTGGTTTACACTCTTACTGTTTAAGTAAAAAGCACTGATGGCATTGTTTTGGGCACAATTAGTGAAATTGGAGCCATGGGTGGACTATTGCTTGTTTAAACAGTTGTACAATATTGTGTGTGGTTTTTTGTCCCCTCTGTTGGTCCCTGGAAACAGCAGCACCAGGCTGGCACTGACACTACTAAAATAACTGAAATGTAAAGGCTGCATTGTTTGTTAAATGTCAACAATGTCTTGTGGTGTTAATCTATTTTTTATTTATTAGGGGGCCAAAGCACAAGTGTGTGGAGTCTTGCTGCTATTTTAATTTCAATGTTAGACATTTTAAAGATTTCTTGTGTTGATTTATTTTCTATTTATTAAGGGGCCAAAGCAGCCAAAGCAAACCAGCTATATTTTTTATTCAATGTTAATGTTCAAGTTTAAAGTTTGTTTATTTAACCCTGTTAACAATAAACGAGTCAGTTTCTCATACCAACTGTTGTGGATCATTCTAACTAACCCGATTAAGTACTTGTTCTTGTTAGAGTAATATCGCTTGATCAAACCTTTTCTAACATGACTGACAACAAAATAAGTGAATATGTATAATACGCGCTTGGATTGGATCGGTATCGGTATCGGCCAAAACTCAAGGCTGTAATATTGCTATCGGATCGGAAGTGAAAAAGCTGGATCGGGACATCCCTACATTAAATGTACCTGAAGGGTAACTTTTGTATTTTCAGCCTGGACCCTATTTTCCCATGTTTTGTGTCTAACTTACTAATAGGAACAACAATTTTTGAAAGTGGTCTAGTATTGAGCGAGAGGGCTGCAAAACAGGCAGCAATGTAACCACTCAGGGAATATGTACTCTCAATGTACATCCACAAAAAAAGGCTTGTTTTTGCTTGGTTCAGATTGTTATTCTTTGTGTCTGACAACATAATAGAAGGAAGCCCTACAGAGTCTGACCTTTTTATTAATGAGGAAGATCCTTTTGGTTTCCGAGACTGTGTTGTAAACACAAGAAGAGGACAGGGGCATTTTTTTATGTAGCTTTGCAGCCAAAATCAAATTTCTTGCCACAGAGAAAATGAAACATCAAGTAGGCTATAATCTTTTAATCTTTTATTTACTTTCTATAGTGTTTCTTTTATCCAAGAATTCCTCCTTAAAGCTCCCTAAGTCAGTCATCCTACAGCTGAGATTTAAGAGTTACTGGAAATACAGAGTCGAGATAAAATGCCCTCTGTCCTTTAACTTCTGATCTCAACCACTGATCATCTGTTTCCACTTGCAAAATAAAGTCAGTACAATCTCTTGTCTTGACCTCCAAAGACAATCCTCTTAACAGCCACATGCTGAAATCTGCAACTTTGTTGCTTTCCAGTGCGTGTGGCTTGATAAGAAAGATTAATTGCTCTGTCTGCAAAGCTTAGCATGCTCACTAACTATTTTTGTTATCTTTTATTCTGTTTCTGTCTCTCTCCAGCACCACCAAAGTTTTTAAGAACCCCCAATGACCAAACAGGCGTGCAAGGAGGCGTGGCGTCCTTCATTTGCCAAGCTACGGGAGATCCACGGCCGAAGATTGTGTGGAACAAGAAGGGGAAGAAAGTCAGCAACCAGAGATTTGAGGTATTAGGTCTATTGTTCTGATGTAAAATGCTCGACAAAATGGGAATGCTTCAGCACTGCTTTTGGCTCTGCTCGCATATAATCCATCGCGCCAAGCCCAGCTCACTTGCATTTCGCCCTGACTTGCCACCACGCATTAGCAGGCTCTAATAACCATGCTGGCCAGGCTTTTAAACATGCATGAGTTTTAATGAGCAAGTACACAAAAGATCTGGGGACAGATTTGTAATTAAATAAAAGACAAGAAAAGAGCAATTGGACAGAAGAAAAAGCAACTTGTGGTGTGACCCAGATACCTACATTAGCATCACACCACATTTGCCAGCTTTATGCAAAGTGAAAGGGGAAGTAGCGCTTTCACTTCGAAATATCCTTTTGCTTTGTGGCATCTTTATCTTAATGCATGTCATACCCTCCTTATTTTGGCTGAAGCTTTGATTTCTGGTCAGCTTTAATCTGCACTTGGGCTCAATACCCATGAGAAATAACACATCATCGCAGAACACTGATAAGATTTCTATTAATTTCTGTGTCAGTCCTCGGGACTATCATGGTGTCACTTATTCCCCTCCTCTGCTCTAGATGCCATATTTGCTTGCTACTGCACAGCAGCGATGGCTTAACGGAGCTCAGAGACCTCTTCCCTCCTCTTCTTTGCGTCTCATGCCCATATAAATCTAATCTTATCAGAGTTCATCGCGTTTGCATCGCACGTTGTGCTGAATGCTAACATGCTAGTTTTCATTCCCTCGTTACCTCACAGGGCTTGCTGGCTGCCACCATTCTGTGCCCATTCAATCATGCACCGCCACCTCATCTTCTAACAAAAACCCATTTCCTTTTCGAAGACTCACTTCCTTTCTAAATTTTCTGCTTTGACTAAGAAAGGAGGCTGTTTTTTACCATCACCTGCTGTCAGCTTGAATGTCAACACTGCTGTAGCTTGGCCAATGAAATGTTAAAGTGTATTGTTAACTAACACATGCACAGATATATTGTCAACTTTAAAAATGTTCGTAGGCCTCTGTGTGTGTTTGTGCGTGTGTGTGTGTATGTGTGTGAGCGTGTTTGTGTGTATGAAGCAGAGGTCTCAGGCCTATCTTTATTGAATCTACCTCTATGCTTAAAAGAGATTGAGTTATGACACAGGGCTTTCTAAAATCAGTGAGTATACAACATGTAGCATGCAAAAATAGCTGAATAAGCTACAACAAACACCTGTTTGTGAGCATTTTATGTGTCGTTCGTCTAATACAGTCGGTCCTGTCTTTTGTACCACTACCTCACCTCATGGTACAACTGTCCGTAACCGTTTATCAAGCCACCTTTAACTGTTTGTGCTTGTTTCTGTCCCATTGACACAATCCAGTGTGATGCATTTTCAAGGGATTGAATGTTAACTTTAAGAGTGGGACACATTCAGATTAAAATTTCACTCCACAACACGATATCAGAGCAAAAATTCTGACCACGATAACTTTCCCCATTCTTAAAGTTAGTCAGCCGCATCGATTTTAGCAATCAGTGCACAAATTAGTAGTAGACAGTGAATAATTCATCTACTTAGAGACAGCATGTGTGAACACATAATAAATGGATCTAGTACATACCTACAAAGACGATGCTAAAGAACTTTTCAAATCAAATATGCTCACTACCCACATATTATCTATATGTATGCAAATACTGCACAGATCCTGACGTTACTTTTTGTACATATACAATATACAACCACAGTATTCACAATTTAACAGGAAATCACTAGGGTTCATTGTAAGGTAAGCTAGGCAGCAGCTTTTGTTTCTGTCATAGGAAGCACATTGTGTCAGTCACCATCAGTGTCGTTAGCCAAATGTCCTCAACGGTGTTGTCTGTTTTTTTTCTCTGCGGAAGGTCCCTCACCCATTGTGAACCAAAAAATCTCCTTTAACATATCCTGTCTCTCGCACCTGCAGGTGATAGAGTTCGACGACGGCTCTGGTTCAGTGCTAAGAATTCAGCCATTGCGCACGCCCCGAGATGAAGCCATATATGAATGTGTCGCCTCCAACAGTGTTGGAGAGACGAGCGCTACCACCAGACTCACTGTTTTACGTGGTAGGTCCTTCTCTGCAACCCCAAAAAGAAAAAAAGCACACACCACTAACATGCCCCTTTTCTCCCAGCTGACCCAGGTAAGTTCGCATTTCCTTGTTTTATGTCTGTCCTGTCCTCTTTTCTTTGTTTCTCACTGTCACACCGCACAGTCAAACCCAATTAGAGAATCTGGTTACACTCACGTTGTGTATTCTAACTTGATAAGATTTAGTCCATTAGCCATTTAGCCAAGTAAGTTTCCGTTTCTAAGTGACTTAAGTCATTTGCATACAGATTCCTGACACAATAATTAAGATGCCAGTTAAATTATGCAAATAGCCATCCATTCCTAGCCTGCGGTGGTTTAATGGAAAAGCTCAGCAATAATTTTCAAATCAGTCATTTTTCATCTCTGCACTTCAGCTTTGATATTCTTTTGGCTGTGCAGAAAATAAAGCAGTGTATTCTCATAGGATTAACAAGCATATATTGTTTATGGTTCGCAGTCTTGTCGCAGGTTGCCTCAATGTCAGTATCTTGTGGTGACCGTTGGCTGTTAATAGCCAGCACTCCTCCACACAAACGTGTAATAATCCAAGCGGGAAAGGTCAGCCACTTTGTTTACTTCCAGAGAGAATAAAAGTCAAATGACAAATATCAAGTTGGTTGACAGTGCCTCTTTTATAATAAGCACTGAGCAAAATTTTATCTTGATTACACACAACATTCCATTCAAAGGCAAATATGTGGTGGCCCTGAGCTCAAAAGGCTGAGTAATATCTCTCTAAAACATGACTTGTTTGGCTGTGAATGGAGAAAATGGCTTTAGAAAAAAAGCCTTGGGCTGCCTGAATGAGGTGTGCTCCATTATGTACCACAATTACACAACATGGCAAATGAGTTTCTATTGAGAGGGGTGCTTCCATCCTATAGAAAAAAAAGCTGGCTCTGCTAGTCTCTGAAGGCCCTCCCCCCACCCCCCCACCCCGCTCTCAGCCTCCTCTGCTTCTTATCTCACCAATGAGCCAACAAAAGGCCCTTTGCACTGTCTCCAGAGGCAGATTGAAAGAGAAAGGTGGCACGTTCACATGCAGCTCTCTCCTGTTTACTCTGGAGCACAAAGTGAGTGTGTGTATGCGCGTGTGTGCACGCTCACGCACGCAATACTGTGCACATTTCCTGTTCCCTTTCGCTCTTGCTCTGTCTCTATCTCTGTTTTTCCCCTTCACACATACATATATATATACACACACACACACACACACACACACACCAATAGATAGCTGAGGGACGGGTATAGAAGCAGCTCTTCCCGGCTCCACGGCCTAGCATTAGCATGTTTATTACCATTTCCATTTTGCTCTTCTGCTCGCTCTCCTTTCCCATCAATGTATTGAAGGTGAGTAGAGGCCTATCACGGACCCCCAAAAAAATAGAAAAACAGAAAAAGCTCTTTCTTTCTCGGCTTTGGTGCAAATAAAAAGAGTGTGCTCCCTGTCCTCACACTGCCTCCCGTGGATACATAGAAACCCTCAAAATTTGGTAATAATCTGCAACATTTCTATATATGTTTATTTCACCACCCTCTGTCACCACTTGCTACGACAAAACAGGGATTCAGCCTCTGCACAGTTTGTGCCATTACATGCATAGACTTCTGGTGTCTGGTAGGTCTCACAGAGGAAATGTATTGTTATGCACACTGGAAGTGCAAATAATAAATTAAAAATCAGAATAATAATTATGAGCAGTGATAGCAGTCATAGTTTGGCAGACAAAGGAAAGGAAGCAAGATGAAAATCAAACATAAACAAAAGGAAAATGATGCCACAGTGCCGGCCACAGACAAGAATATCAAGCATCACCGTAATAAGATAAACTCCAGCTCGCCATATTATTTGAGTTTCCACTTCAACAGTTGCAGACAACAACAACACAGCCAGACTGATTCCCTCCCTTCTTCAAAGACCCAACACAGGGATGACTCCGAGGAAGCTGGAAGTAAGCTGACACACTGTACTGTGAGGGCATCTTACTGTATGGGCAACCTGAGGTAACACAAGGTTACCTCAAGGAGGCATTATATATTATTTAGGAGACCAAAAAGCTCCCTCCTTCCAAAACTACTTCGTACAGTACAATAAACACAGCACTGCTGGTTTGCTACTCATCATTCCACATGACATAAACTGCAGTTTGAAAAATGCAACTGCACATTTTTTAAGTCCGATCTGTCACCATGACCGGCGGAAATTATTTCTCCCCTCCTTTTGGCCCTTTTAGTGGAGAAACACTGAACTTGCACACAAGTGTGTGATGCAGGATTGGAGAGATAAATAAATAAGCAAACACAGATAAGTGCTACTACGCCAGGCCTAATACATATAAAGTGACTGTTCGTTTAGTTAATTTGGGCTCCAATGGTCTGTGGAAACGACTGCAAAGCATCTGTTGTGGGAAGCTCGCCACAGGGGGTGATGCCTAATTCCATGAAGGAAAAGCACATTGTTGTAATTGCCATACTATGAGGAGAGAGGACTCGAGGTGATAAATCCAAAGCACTGGGGGATATTAGTATTCGGATGGGTCTCTAACTTGATGGGAAGTGCCATTAGTAATGAACTTCCAGGCTTAGGGAAGCGATTTGCATGAAAGGCGAACCCTGAAACGTAATGATGTTCCGAGTCAAATCTGCTAGGCCATGGCACGAGCCACGGGTTTCCTTAGTGCACTTTTTTTTTGCGCCCTCTGTTTTGATTAACTACGAGATGACCCGACTCATATGCGACTCGTGTCTTTGAATTAAGGTCGTCTTGATTTGCTTTGTAATTGAGAATGACAGGCAGGGATTGAGAAACGAAGGAACAGCACATTTTGGGTGTCATGGCTGGAATATGATTTCAGTGAAGTGGTGTTTGATCTCATTTATGAATATGCCTCTGTAAGATTTTTGCGTATCCACGTGCATCAACAGAGACTCTCTAATAAGAAAACCTGTCACTAAAAAATGTTAGTACAGTGGGATCTCCTTTGTACACTTATAACCACAAGTAAACAAAAGAAATACTTGAAAATGTCGCCAAAACACCTCACAGGGTCTAGACTCTCTGCCAGCAGTAGTTCCAGCAGAGTGATGTGTGGATTTGAGTGCTGCAGTTCATGATTCAGGCATGATTAAGGATTTATATTGCATCCTCACACTCCCATTATGCTGTCAACAGCCATTTCCTGTGCCCCACACACAAGCGTGCAAACTTATGCAGCTGTGCACAACTTGACAGTGGGAGCGGAAAATGGGAAGCCGCTCTCCTGTGACGAAAAAACAGAATGCATCATTTCCATTTGTATGGAATGGTGCAATGGCACGGTCAAAGCCGTGTAGCTGAGACGGATCTTTCCACATACAATGAAAGGGCTGCTACATGATCAGTGATTATTCATAGACAATGTATGCGTTTGGCTCTTTGTCACTGTTTGGAGAGAAATGGTCTCCACACTTAATACAACACACCAAAAGCTGCCTAATATATTCCAAGCTTACTTAACTGATATCCATAAGATGCTGGTCAAAGTAAACTGTGTGGACCTGCATGCACTGTAAAAACCCATAGAATACTGTGAAGGGTGACTGATAATGATAATTTAAAATGTGTCTTAATGCTTATCCCTAACCATCGTTTTTTAATCTGTATGCTCTTGCACCGTTTTCTCGATGTATAATGCTTTCCGTCTAACAAGTGCAGAGTGAGGGATGAACAAAAGCTGGTCTGCATGCTCAAATTGCTTAGCAAGATAAATGCTGTGTCAGCTGTCTCGGACTGTCGGAGCAAGGGATGCAGTGGGGATGAAGCAAGTGACCATTGTGAAATTACTGCAGGGGGCCAGCAGCTACCATACAATTCGCCGGTTTACTGGCAGGAGCTCTATAGATGGCGAGACCTGGGATGCCACACGGAACACTCAATTTTGTTCGAGAAATACATTTTTTCCTCTAAAAATGGTGCTGTGGAAACATGCTGACTCACTGTAGGAGTTTAACTCTTTTGTTACATAGAAAACACTGATATTGTAAACTTCCTGGCATTTTTAGGTCTGAGGGAATTGTATAACCTAACTGGCTGGTCCACTGTGAAGCACAATCAATACAGAGTTCTCCTCTAAGACTATGTAGAAGTGTTAGACATGATTTTCCTTGTCACTATATACTAGTGTTTCATAAGCTACTAGGGTGTTAGCAGCTTTTTCATGTGAATAAGTAGTCATTTATTGTTATTTGTGGCACATTTTTCCCAGAACCCAACATGCTTTTTTCTCTCTCTCACCTCAGCATGCTGAGACAAATAGTGACGGAGTGCAACCAACTGCACAGACCATCAATTATCTTCACGTCCATTAGATGTTTCATAAAGTATCCATAGGCAGAGTTATTGCTTGGGATTTGGCCAATACTGACTTGATGCTACTCTCCGCTCAATTCCCAGCTTCACTCTCTCATACGTCACAAAAATGGAGCACATGATGACAAGTTCTTCATTATTGTAATTAAAAAGATGGAGTTGACTGTCCTCACAGAAATCGATCTCTTCTTGGTAAAAAAATAAATAAATAAAAAAACAGCCCCCCACACCCCCTTATATCTAACTGTGTGGTTAATCGTGAAAGCCAATCAGTATCTGCACAGTATGCGAGATGATTTAAGGCATAACCGCTGCCAACAAGATGAATGTGAGACTCTCCAGTCTGCATAGCGTGTGAGAAAACATCTGCCGGAGCCACAAAGGCCCTTGGACTGCACACTGAACATGATAGATAACTCTGCACATGTTGTGGCTCTGTATTTGTTTTAATAAAAGTAAACACAGCCTCCTGAATTAATAATTATTGATTCAGAGAAATGAGGAAAGTGTTTCTTGTTTGTTTTCTTTTTCCCTCGCTGGCCTTAAGATTCCGCTGTTCTCCACAGTGACCTCACAGTGCTGGCAAAGTAATTAGGTGATGAGCGATTTTAAAATGCAAACTGC